TAAAGACCAACCTTGATACACAATTCCTTTCTCAAATAACCCGGGCAGCGCCGGGTCCCCAAGCTAGTAAATTATATTACTGAAAGTATTACAGTCTTCCATATTCTCTGTATGAAAATGTATGAATTCAAAATCCTATTTTTTGTACCAGAGAGAACATCTTTTTAGGAATTTCTACATCCTCTAAGACAACTATTTGGTCAACATCTGTTGACAGCTGGCCATAATCTCCCACCAGAAAACCTAGAGATTTTAATAAATTTTTAATAACATACATCAATAATTAAATCTGGAAATGTGGAGGAATGGCTATTATTAAAGAATGATAATACAACAGGTGTATGCCAGGGCTCCAGAACAGAAGACTATAACAAAGGATTTCAACTCTTGGTAGAGAGAAGAAGGAGAGAACCTGGAGGCTGGCCCATATTTAAGGCTATCAGTGAACAGCTATTTCACTGTGTTTTTGAAGGCTTTCCTGGCTGTAATCACTGGGTTGCTGTGAGTTTTCCGGGCTTATGGCCATATTCCAGAAGCACTCTCTCCTGAAGCTTCATCCACATCTATGACAGGCATCCTCAGAGATTGTGAGGTCTGCTGGAAACTAGGCAAGTGAGGAAGCAGACAGGGTTTGAAGCTGCAAAGCCATTCCATGCTAATCAAGGTGGCTAATTGCAACATTCACACTTGCCTCTAACAGACAAGAGTTCTTTCTCCCACCCTGGACATTATTCCATAGATATATAAACTCAGAAAAGTCACAGCAACCCAGCCATTTCACTGCTATAGAGCATCCTATCTAGCCAGCTGGGACTTTTGTTTCATGCACCCATCAACATATTGCTCATTTTGGGGAGGGTTCATATGACATCTTTTTATATGAAAGAACACCTGAGTGGAGGAAATGAAGACATATGAGCTAGTTGTGCTAGTGGATCAGTCATGTGCCACGGCGATGATCCCCCATCATTTCTTGCAGTGTAAATGCTCAAATGTGCACATCTACATATGGAGTGGCCTTCATTACCTAAGAGCTTGTTGAAGAAGGCCAACCCTACATGTTTGTTGTTTTGTTTATTCGTTCAGTCACTTCCAACTCTTTGTGACCTCATGGACCAGCCCATGTCCATGAGGTCACAAAGCTCCCTGTCGGCCGTCACCACCCCCAGCTACTTCAGAGTCAAGTCAGTCACTTCAAGGATACCATCCATCCATTTTGTCCTTGGTCAACCCCTCTTCCTTTTTCCTTCCATTTTCCCCAGATACCCTACATGTAGATGTACATATGTAGAGTGATTCTCAATATTCTACTCTCACGGGAGTGCATCACTATCCATGGGAAGCTCTTTCTTTCCCTGTTGAAATGCAGAAATAACAGTTTGTCATTTATGCCATGGGACATGATATTGCCACAAGTACAAACAAAGCATCATAAATGAAGAGGTAATCTCTACAATCTCCAGTCACATATGAGTTCAATGTATGGAGACTGTGTTGCATGAAATGTCCTATTTTTTTGGATGCATTCTTTGTTTTTTGTTTTATATTTGATAACTATCATAATTATGTATATTTCAAACCTATCTTTACCCATATTTTCTCAACACAAGGAAACCGACAGAGAAACCCTAATCCAGGGTAGGCTACATTGAGCCCAAGTCACATTTTTATCTTTTCATTCTCCAAATTGCTTTTCCATAAAAGGTTTACAAAAGGGATGAACAAAGTGTAATCCATGGCCCATGTGCAGCCCCAAGCTCTTTTTGTGCTAAAGAAACATTCTCCAAACACAAGCGCCATCTACACCACCATAGAATGCAGTTTCATAATGTAGTTACGGCACTTTTTTCTTGTCAGAAGCAACTTGAGAAACTACAAGTTGCTTCTGGTGTGAGAGAATTGGCAATCTGCAAGGATGTTGCCCAGGGGACGCCGGATGTTTTACCATCCTGTGGGAAGCTTCTCTCTTCTCCTTGCATGGGAAGCTGGAGCTAACAGACGGGAGCTCACTTCATCTCATGGATTCGAACCGCCAACCTTCAGGTCAGCAGTTCAGCTGGCACAAGGGTTTAACCCATTGTACCACCGCAGCTCCTTGTTACTGCACTGGACTGCATTATATGGCAGTGTAGACTCATAATGCTGTTCAATGCAGTAAACTGCATTATATGCCAATATAGGTGGAGCCTAAGGGTCATAAAAATATGTGTATTTTGGTGTAGTATGATACTGAAAATTGCCCCTAAAGTGCCCAATCTTTACAAAAATGGCCAGAAGTGAGGTGGTTTGGCTTTCCCTTCTCCCAAAGTGGTGGAAATAGGTAACTGAAAATCAGTTGGAAATACATCTATATCAAATTCAGAAGAAGAAGCAAAAACAATAATGTGGTATCTTAGCAGTGGAAGAAGGGACTAAATGTAGCCCATATGGCCAGTGTAGCTGCCCAGCCCTGATCTTGAATTGCCTGTTGATTGTAATTTCTTTTTCCTTGTAAGGAGAGTGAAGACTTGGAGAGGCAGAATGCTGCTCTGCGCCGGGAGATCAAACAGCTGAGAGAGGAACTGACACACTTTACCACGGTGCTGAGTTTGCATGAGACTCGCTGCTCCATCCTCCACATGCAGCCACCACCAGCACCTTCTGAAGTGCTTTATACCCCACTTTCTTTCCCCCAGACCCACATCAGCTCTCCATGTTTCCAACCCTGACACCAACATTTGGGACTGCAAAAAGTTTGCCAGCTTCGTTGTGTTTAGACAATATGTGTGAGCTCTCACATACCTCATCACTCTGGACAATTTGGGGTATTATCATGTCTCTGTTGACTGAAACAAGCTTGAATATAGCACGGAAAACATCTAAGATTTGCTCCTTGTGCAGAAACAGGGAAAGTTCCTGCACAGCACTTGCAGAGGCTCTGCATCTTTGGATCAGGAGGTATCCATGCAGCTATTATTTGCGCTCAAAGCCTTACCAAAGAGCCTTGATAGACATGTATGCTAAAAGTGACAGAACAATGTATTGTCAAACAATGTCTTTTTCTGTGAGATGTATGCTTGTGATGCTACAAAGAATGAACATGAGTAGAGGAGGGAAAGAATCAAATGCACTGTTTTTATTTTAATAAAGAGTTTATATTTTGAATGGTTTATATGTGAGCTCTCAAATCTGACCTGGCTTGCATGTCAAGCACAAAGCAACAGGGCAGTGAAACACAGTAAGGAAAGCACAAGGAGTTATGGAAAACTGTAGGCCACATTTCATGAAATCTTAACCTAAGGGATGGCATGCACCAGAGGCGACATCAAGTGATTGTTTTGACTCCATTGGAACTCTGGTGAACCACAGAATGCTATTGCAGTTGCCATTTTGATTGACCATAAGTGACATGGGTTGCTGACAGATGGAGTTTTCTGGGCTGTATGGCCATGTTCCAGAAGCCTAACGTTTTGCCCACATCTATGGCAGGCATCCTGAGAGGTTGTAAGGTCTGTTGGAAACTAGGCAAGTAAGGTTTATATATCTGTGGAATATCCAGGGTGGGAGAAAGAACTCTGGTCTGTTTGAGGCAGGTGTAAATGTTGCAATTGGCCACCTTGTTTAGCATTAAATAGCCTTGCAGCTTCAAAGCCTGGCTGCTTCCTGCTTGGGTGAATCCTTTGTTGGGAGATGTTAGCTAGCATCTTTTCATTCTTGTTTGCCTTTTAGGATCATTTTGAAGTGGTTTCTCTTTTCTTTTTGCTATTTTGTGGTGTTGGAGGAAAGTTCTGAGAGTGCCTTGGACCGCCAGAACAGGCCCGTAGCCAGGATATCGAT